TGTAAGCGAACGAAGTATCCAGAATCAGTCCTAACGGTACCAAATGCCATTAGCAACCACTCGCTGGTAAGATTTCGATAATGACATACATAATATATATAATACAATGCATAATGTATATAATACAAAAGATTATGTATTATATATATACATAATAGTATTATATATGCACATATACATAATACAAAAGTGAAAAGTTTACGAAACAGGAATCAAAATTGGACTTCCTCAATGCGGTGGCTGCTGTGTTGGTTAATTAAGTTTATTTAAAATATAGATGTATATAAAACGCAAATGTATCATACAAGCAATAGGAAAATGATTCCCTCAATGCAGGCAAGCTGACGAAAGACTTAACTTTCTACTACTTCCCCACTGAAATAATTAGTAGAAGGACTGGTTGCCCTAATGGAGGTACTGAACCCTCTTCATCGTCGCGATAACAGCGCTAGTTCTCCTGTGCAAGCTCGTCAGTAAAAATGTCGTGTAACGCGGGAAAATAATGAGGAATTTGAGTAAATAAAAAAAGACGTTGAATAATAGAAAACAACATACCATATCTTTCCGGTCGAGAGATCTTGAGTTTAGAAAAATGAATGGAGCCAGAGTCAACAGGATGTTGATTGCTCATCTGCTGGTAGCCTCCATCAAAATGTACAACAAGAAAATGCGACGATTTCCGGCGTTTTCGAGAATTTTTACCTGCAAATTTTGGTATAAAGATCTGAAGATAATCGAAAATAAATTGAAACCCATGCAACGCACAGTGGCTTGGAGGTGAAGTTATCGGGATACTCCAACAACCTGAGCTGCAGTACCTCGGCACTAATTGTTAATTAGGTTTTATACAGCTCAAGAGCAGTAATCAAAAGACAAAATCCTCCGTGTTACTCTTTGTGAGAGACAGAGGCATTCGGTAAGTAGCCTGAGTGATAGCATTTGCCAGTAGCAACCATCCGCTTGCAAACTTTCAGTTGGTCCTTCTTTCGAGAGCTGTTTGCAAGCAATCAAAATGAATGAAAGGGTCATAAGAACTAATTGTTCCACCGGTGAAATCTAACCGTTAAACTACAGCACAATAACATCACTATTTCCCGCTGTACATGCAATCAAGGAAGGATGCGAGCTATTTAACTCAAAAACTGGTTGAAGTTGACTGAGCTAGAAAGAAATACGGGAAATAGAGTTAAGCGAAATTTAACCGAGGCGAATCTAAAATGAGTTAAAGAGCGTGTCACAGAATCTAAATTTATAATGAGACTCAACGCAAAACTTTTACAAACGAGACGGGGAGGAAACAAACTTAAAGTAGTGCATCTGACGTGCGCCAAAAATTTGTGGAGTATTCCAAGCGAACAGCTTTACAAAAGCACCCTATCTCAGCGCGATGAATGACGTGTGATAACACTAAGCGACAGAAGCAAAAAAAAGGATTATGCGTAGCGACGACTGCATAAAATTTGCGACATGAAGCTTAAGTAAACAATGCAAACCGTTCTTCGGGAAATCGTTTCCTGAACATTAAAAATACTGTATTTTTCAGTGGGCGGCCAACAAATTTTACGCCTCTCTGTGGGAGGAAGTTTGTGACTAAATTTGATTTGACAGAGGGATTTCGACTCGCGGTATTTGCTCATTGAAGAACAGATGCTCGGGAGTTAGCGCGAGTAACAGCATTGATGTTGACCGACTCATCTTTTGCGAATGCGTGTAGACTGGAAGGAAACCGAACCACTTGTCTTCACATCCAGATGAACCACAGTACCACTGCCTTTTGTCCTTTAGGAACAGCCTGGAAGCGTTTTACTCTGTCTTTTCTTTGCCTTCTCGTAAGCAGTACATACTTTTGTGGCGGCTTCTTTATCGACTTTTCGTGACACCAACAGCGGCCACCAAATGGCAAGGCTGTCAATAGTTCTTTCTTTCGAAGGTTGTTTAGAAACGAACGTCAGGATCACCAGCAGGTTAAACATTAGGCAACATTCGGCGATGCAAGTAGTCGGAAAAACTAACAGCTGCATAGCTGAAAGCCAGACTGTAAATTTCAGCTGATCCACGAATTCCAATCAACTGAAAAAAGCAGTGGCATCCGGTTTTCTTTTCGCGTCTCTCCCATAATGCACTTACGCAAACCATGAGAAGTTAAATTGGCTACCTTTTCGTGGTCGTCCGGTTTTTCGCAGGGCAATATACCATGGCTTTTTAGGCGTACCGTACGCACAAGAAGAATATAAATTATAATAATTCTCAAGCATTTCTTCCATAAATACACATTCCGCTGAATAATTTTCTTGTAACTAAAAAAGAGCAATGTTTTTTTTCGGAATCTGATTTTATAAGGTATTAATACACAAGGAAGTGTAAATGATCAGAAGATGCAGCATCAATGATCCAAGTAGCTAGAAAAGTTGCCATCTGTAGTTAGAGAACCAGAATGTGAAATGCAGCTGAAGAACGAAAGTAATATGTGGATGAACTGAAAATGTCCTGAAGGTAGGTGCGAAGAAAGGTAGTCGTGCAAAGCGAACTGCTCCTCAAACCGTGCTTTACATGGACCACAGTAAACCTGCTTTTGAATTCAGTTAAGATATATGGTTCAGATTCCATATGAATAGCATAAAATTCAAAAAAAAGTATCAAAATCAGTAAGAAAGCAGTAATTAATTTTAAGGACAGAAATTTGTCTCGGTAGTGCAAAATTTCACTTTAATTTAGAACAAATTAGAGTCAAAACTTTGCAACGATGAATTGGGAAGAGCGTCACAGCTCTTCAATACCGCTTTGCTGGAGGCAGTGACGTACGAATGCAAAACGCGGTCAGTGACGAGATCTGAAGAACATGTGCTGGCTGTGACGGAGAAAGCGATGGAACGAAGAATGCTTGGAGTGTCTTATCGCAACCACGTAAACAACCAGACACTCTGTCAGAAGAATAGCGCGTAAAATATCATTGTGATTACATAAGAAAGTGGAATTCGATGAATACGATATTGTTCACCTTGCCGTAAACCAGTGGGCATCGCTCATCAACGAGCGGTGCCAGCAAGAAAGCAATTGACCAACTGGCTGGTTCCCAAAACTTAACGCAAATACTCTATCGAAATGAAGGTTAGTACTAACTGGAGTTGCGCAGTCCAAGATCGAATGGCCTGGAATGTCTGCGCCAGTACTTAATAACATCATAACGACATCATTAGCATGTAATATTTTCACTAACTGCTCAGATGGTCTTGAAACTCTTGATGTAAGGGTTGGGAGAAATGGCAACGCCTTTTCTATTATGCAATGATAGGTGATCACCGTTTAATACATAATGTTTTACACTGGGGTTTTGACCGAAATGACCAGAAATTTACCGCGGCGTACAGTCGTCCCTCTCGATCCATACATAAATATCGCTGAGAGTCTCGACCCCGTATACTCACCAAACCAAATGCAACGGATATGAATTCCAAGATACCTGCAAAATGCAGCAAGATTTCAAGCAAAACCTTGCCTAACATACGAGAAAAAAGTGATGTAATGAAAAGCTAATCATCGCTAGAGACGGCGCCAGAATTAAACTATCATATAACCAGAAGCGCAGGCAGGATCTTGCATGCATAAGGGATTCGTTGGAATTTTTTGCGTCAGAAGTTAAAAAAGTAAATTGCGCATACTGCGTTCGAGAGGCGGCGATCTTCGGATAGTACCGCCTCCTTTTTTTCGAGGGTTGCTTGCAAATACACTGGCAATACTGCTGATTCCTCGGCATGTACGAGCACCAAATTACCATCGAAAAAAGGAACAGACAGACTAGTGTCCTGGTGACGGAATAAAACTTCGATCACCAGCACAAGAAAAGCGCTACTTACCAATGCGCCGTGTGCACACTGCGTATTGTAAGAAATAAACGTGCACCAAAATTTATAAAAGTGGTGTCGAGAGCCCAAAGCCGAAGTCGATGGCATGGTTATCGGCTTCGGAGAATGCTCCGAATATAAGTCGGTATTATCTAGTTCTCGTTTCAAGCACACAAGTATAACCCCAAATTTTGTCGTCCTGCTTTCTTCTGTTGTCACGCTTCTAAGAGGATGCAAAAAAAGATAAAGTAGTAGAAGCGAGTGAGATACTGAAGCCCACTCAAAAGATACCACACAGAGAAAAATAGTGCAAAAAACTTACTAAATCGGCTATTTTCTAAACGATTGCCACGCACATATTCCGGCTTGGTAAGCCCATCACGTCGAGCCTCATATTCAGCGGTGCGTTTGTCCAAAATTTCGACCCATGTACCAGAACGACAAAATAAAGCTCCTTCTCGATTTGGTCCATCATGCCTCAAAATTCAAACAAAATATCCTAACTGCTAAGTTCAAAACTCACACCATCACACTCTTTGAGATATATAAAAAAATTTTCCCAAACATTGTGGTTTGACGCGCAGAGGAGAAGTGCCACGCCTATTCCTCCTCAAACTGACGTCAGATTGACGTCAGAGTAATTCGATTAGATGAGAAAACCGCAAGGAACTGACACATTAAAATAAAGCTAGGTAAAAGGCTTCCATTTCGATGACAAATTGATACTCAAACGTTCTTGTTCGTCTACTTCTTTAATATAATTCTATATTTTTTATATATATCACGATTAATTTCTCTGACATAGCAAGATCGCCTGGACGGTCAGCGAGGGCATCCCACTAGTGACGTCACTGGAATACTCCCCCACACGGGGCCAAGCTACGCCGAATCCTCAAATATGACTTTTAAAAAAGCCAAAAAAGTTTAATTTTTATTAGACGAATTTTAGTTAGACTTGAAAAGCTACAACTTAAAGCTAAGCATAAAAGTGTCGAATCACAGGAGGATTGATCATCTGATCAGCAATTACAGCATCGCTGTGCCTCAAACTTGTTGATATATTAGTATAATTTAAAAAGCAACTGCACTGCAATTTCTGGTAATCACGCGGTCAGCAAAGTTTACAACAGAATTGGAAAGAAAGGCTTGTTTTGCGTGCATGAATTCGAAATTACGATTTATTCATTCCACCATTATATTATTTAAACTGCATAATTGTACCTAATGCATGTATACCGCGAAAGCAGCATGGGCTAACTATGCAACTATGTGAGATTATCTGCATAACAAGAAATGCTGAAATTATCTATGTATTAATAAGATAGCGGCGCTGTCACTGTATCTCATGTTAGTAATGTTATTCTGGTATTTTCAGATGCAACTTTGCCAAAGCCAAACTTTAGTCGCTGAATGTCTCTGGTCCATAAGTTCGTCCAACTTCTGATAACAAAATACCTGGAAGTGAATCGCCGGCTATGTTTGGCTTGTCTAAGCTGCTGGGCTTGTCGAGCACAATTAGCCAGTAAGCTTGTCGATGAGAAATCGCTGGATGGCAGCAAATTCAACATTAACGATGAGGAAGCGGCAACTGCGGCAGCTGCAGCAGCAAACGGTTGAAAATGCGATGAAGCAGAAGGAAGAGTACTAGCACCGGTCATCGACGACGGAAGGAAGTCACCTGACCGCCAGCTATCGTCCGTGATCGCCGACAAAAAGTATAACCCTACAATACATACTTATACTTTGATAATTTAAACGGCTTCAATTCACATCGTTCAGCTATAAAGCTGGTGCTTTGACCAATGCTACATTGCCTGATAGTCAGTTTCCATGTTCTTTGGGAAAAAACACTGTATTTTATTCCGTTTTTTACTAGCACCAGTGAGGAAGTACATTATTTTACTAGCACCGGTAAGGAACTACAGTACTCTCTGACAAGGAACTGATTAAACCATTTTGACCCTCGGCGCATGCCAATATCAATTTATCATTTTGAACGGATCAGCAAATCGCAGCGTGATTAGTTGTCACGCTGGTGGAATCGAACTACAGACGTTCCGCACGACCTCAGCGCTATATGCCACTTTGTTGTGTAGATGAGCGGAACGAAAACAACGGAGCGAAATTACAGAACCACAGAATGCGAACAACCGAATGGATTACTGTATTTATCTTATTCATCGTTATTCACTAGCTGCTGACAACATTTCATCAAACACTCGAACAAAACTGGTTTCCTTTCTGTCCAAGAAAATCAAGAGCTCCGGTTCGACCGATGTGGGTATCCCATGTCAAAGTGATATTACTGTGATGGTCTCCGGAAGCAGATAGACCAGGCCCTTCCCCTGAACTACATCTCTTCTCTGGTTAGTACTCTTTGCCCTTTCGGTGTTTGTGTGCTTCCTGAAGTGAATTCTCTAAAACACGCAAAATCAGAGCTTACCGGAGTTGTCGTTATCCAATCCAGTGTGGTACTGGGCGTTGTCCTGGGCGACTGCGGCTGACCGCGATGGTAATCCGGCAAGTGGCAGTGCCGGTACCGGAGGTAGCGGTTCTGCTGGACGGTGGTGGTAACGGACGTCGTGGCGATGGCGATGATGGTGGTCGTTGCGAGAGGGAAATTGGCAGTGCTGATGACTGCTGTTAAATTGTACTCCAAATATGGTTATCTCGCTGAGCAGCGTGAGTAACAAATGGCAGAAAGCCAGCGATGTTACTTGTTCCGTCTTGCTCGGCTCTTCAACAAGCACTTACGTCCAGTGGGGATTGGCTACTTCTGTCCTCTTGTCCACTTCCGGCGATGACCAGTAATAATAGCAGT